TTAATTTAATTTAATTTAATTTAATTTAATTTAATTTTATTTAATTTTATTTTATTTTATTTTATTTTTACCGCCGATCTTCTCTCCAGTCCAGCAGGTGGCGCACCTTAAAGCTGCCGATTGAACCGAAGAAGAAGAAGAAAAAGCGGAAGCGGAAGGAGCCCCTCGTCACATGACTGTCAGGAGTGAAAACACAACAGGAAGAGTTTTTGTTGTGAACATTTTCCTGCAGGAATAATCTCTGGCTTCAGCGTCACTTGGATCTAAAAAATAAAAGAGAAGAAAATTAAAACTTTTGCATGTCGGAAGTTTCGTTTCGTTGCGCGAACAAACCGGACTTCACTGAAAATCCGCTGAACTGAAGCAGATCCTGACGATCCTCGGAGGTACGTAGAGATCAACCAACGCTCTGAGATATTTCCTTTAACAGCACAAACTGAGCATTAATTCGGCGGAAACATGATCCGGTAAATGTGAATAAAATCAGTTGAATTGTTTAATAAAAGTCTGTTCGTTGTGGCCTGAGAGAGCTGCAGCAAACTGGAGCTTCTGCAGAACATCAGATTAACACAAACATCTTTAGAATCATTTAATAACGTTCACAGTTTGCTGAGGTGCTGCAGGAACAGTTTCCAACAACACATGTGGGTCCAGTTTTATGAGATTTTTAAATGGAGTTTGGCTGAAATTTATTTTTAAGCACAAATAAGCAGAAACCGTTAGTTTACCACAAAAAGACACTGAGTTTAACACTTTACACTGAAACACGAGCTGAGAGCCGCTTTTAATACAAGATGTAAAATGTAAATATACCGGTGCAGCAACGTAAATCTGTTGTTTATTTGTTTGTTTTTTTCCTTAACAATAACCAGAAAGTCAACATTAAATAATACGAAACTGCAGCTCAGGAAGTTCAACAGTTGCACAATCTTTAAAGCTGCTTTTTGCTTTGGGGGTTTGTGTTGCTCTACATTTACAGTTAAAATACACCAAATGTGAGGAAACATCCTTGTCTGGGTCCTAGTTCCACTTTGTTCTCGTGTGGAACCTCGTGTGTGANATGAACCTATTTTCAAAGGTTACATCTGGTTTTCATTTCTGAAAACAGCGTTTTGCTCCCTTTGGTTTTCTAAAATCAGCACTTGTTGTAACATACAGAAGCTCTTCTGTTAGTTTAGTGTCGATTGAGTTCATGAACACAGATTTATGCACATATTTTATGATGCACAAGAATGTGTTTTATTCAAATGAAGCCGTGACAAATGTTCTCTGACATGAAGATCAGCAATAAAGCTTGAAGAATTTTCATGAAACACATTTTCTACAGTTTTGTGTTTTCTACGTCCAACGTTCTGCAACAGTCGCTTCACTTTGTTGTTTTTTCTCAAAGGAAGGTTTGAAAATCACGACCAGACGTGAATCATCCCGTCACTTCCTGCCGACATCACCGTCGCCCCCTTGTGGTCGAACACGACGCTTTGGACGTCGTCGCTGTGTCCGTCCAGGCTGGTGACCTCACAGGACTCCACCTCCACCAATCTGACCAACCCGTCACCGCTAGCAACCGCCAGCGTCCTCCCTGATTGGCTGAACACCACCTGGTTGGCGGCCATTGGTCCGGCGTCCACGGCAGCTACCGGTGTCGCCGGTTTCCTCACATCCCAGAGGTTGACGACGCCACCGGAGTCGCAGGAGGCCACCAGGTCGGCGGCCATGTTGGATGTTGCGTGGTTACAGGGGTGGAGGTGTCCGCTGAAGATGGCGGTGCAGACGGCCAGCCTGGCGTCCCACATGGCGACGGTTTTGTCGGCCGAAGACGTGAGGAGGAGGTTGGAGGAGGGCAGGAAGCGGACGCTGTTGACGGCGGCGGCGTGGCGTCGAAGCGTCTGGCGACACCGTTGGCTGTTCAGGTCCCAGAGTTTGGCGGTTCGGTCGGAGGAGCAGGACGACAGGAAGTGACCAGAGGAGTGGAAGGAGCAGCTCCAGGTGGGCTGAGAGTGACCGGACAGAGTTAAAACACAGCAGCCGTGGGAGGAATCCCAGAGACGCACCTGAACCAAGAGGAACCAGAGAACACAAGAAACAAGAACGTTCACGGTTTGGTCCATCTCACATGATCAGGTTCCTTCAGCTCGACCACATCAGATCTGGAGGAAACTCTTTCATCATAAACTCTGGATATTTAAAATGCCATCCTTGTAATTTGATATTAATATATCAAACACTATCTGAGAAAATAAATACATCTTGGAAAGTACTTGACATCTTTATGAATATATCTCATGCTACACATCTTCAGGTCCATCAGCATCCTGAACTCACCGTCGTGTCTCCGCTGGTCGTCGCCAGTTTTGATCCATCAGGGTGGAAACTGCAGCCTGACAGCCAATCAGAGTGACCCTCACCTGTCAGCATCATCTCAGCCACCTGGCGGCACACGTTTAATGACATCACAGCACATCAGCCAATCAGAGTGACCCTCACCTGTCCACGTCGTCTCATGACCCATCATCTGCTATCATCATGTCATCTAAACCAAACGAATCTAATCTAAACCAATCTAATCTAATCTAATCCAACCTCTCACCTTCTCTCCAGGTTCCAGCCTCCACAGCCTCCAGCGGCGGTCGTCGCTGACAGAAGCCAGGATCAGCTGATCAGGATGGAGGTCGATGCAGCCGATCGGCAGCTCGTGAGCTCTGATGGAGTTCTGGAGACGGAAAGAACGAAGGTTCTTCTCTGCTGGAAACGTCTCCTGATGCTTCACCGTCCTGCTGCTCGCTGGAAACTCTGAATCCTTCAGGTGTTTCTTCTTCACAGCAGGTTTATCGGAGCTGCTTCCTGCTTTCTTCTCTGGACTCGGTTTTTCCTCTGAGGTGTTGTGAACTCGGTCTCTCTGTAAGCTGAGGAGCATCTTCTGCCTCAGAGCTGCTTGATGTTTGTCCTCCAGCTGCCTCAGCGCCGGCTCATAAGACTCCAGGTGTTTCTTCAGGTGTTTTAAATCCTGGATCAGCTTGTTTTTGTCCTCGGCGACTCTTCGATGCTGCAGCTGGTGGAAGCTTCTCTCCCTCTGCATCCTCAGCAGCGTCTCTCGTGCCTCCAGGACCTCCCTCCCCAGCAGCTCCGCCTCCTTGTGGACGGTCTCCAGCTCAGAACGGAGGATCTGCTGGTGAGTCAGCGCGTCGGGCAGGAAGAAGACGCCGGATTCTGGAGTCGGCAGCGTTTCTGAGAAGTGCCTCTGGGCCGAGTCGTACCACTCGGCCTCGAAGCTGCTCAGGGTTCTCCTCAGGCCGAGCCGTCGCAGGAAGTTCCTCAGAAAGTCATCCACGGATTCTGGGATGTTCGGGACGATCTGATGTTCTGGAGGTTCAGGTTTCCTCCAGGAAGCACCTTCATCACTCCTCCTCTCCTCCTCTTCCTCCTCCTCTGCTCCGTCTCTGCTCCTGGCTGACATTTTCTCTGCTTCTTGTTTACACGTTGCCACGGTAACAGCTGCTGAGTTCCACCTTCTGTGTTGTTTAGACGTCACCATGGCAACCTTTCTCCACACTCTCCACTATCTCACCTGAACAGTTAAATACTAAAAACATTCTGTTGTGAATTAAATTAAATTAAATATGTTCCATGCTTTTATTGTTTTTTTTTCCTGCCTTTTTTTATTTTAAAAATCCACTTTAAAGATCTTTTGAAAACTTTGTGTTCACACTGTTTCTACTAGAAGATATAACGTTAAATAAAATGTGCAAAATATGTTATTATTCAGCTGCAGTATTTTACTGTCGTGTGATATTATTTAACTACCTTCTTACTTTTTTACTCTCGTCTCATTTTAGCTAAATTTTAGATTGTTATTGTCAGCAGTGTATGGTACTTCCTTCACATTGCTTTTCTATTAGACACTGTATTAATTTTCATGCCATTTAAATTTGTTTTATCAGGCCAAATAATTTTTTTCTGGATTAACAACGTTTTATCTTACCTAATTTAATTTTTTTTCCATTAAATTAATGTTGCTTTAAATTAAATTAATGCTGTTTTA